CGGCCGCGCTGCACGGGCGAGCTGCGGCGGCTGCAGGGCGGCGCGCCGGCCAGCGGGGCGCCCGCCGCCGAGGTTCAGGAGGGAGAGATGCGGGCACAGACACAGATGAGCGCCGACTTTCGGGAGGGTGCGGGACGGCATTGGACATGGATCGAGGAAGAAGAACACGGCATGTTCTTCGAACATTTTTGGCCGAGACCGGCTTGTATTCATACACCAGGTCTATGCTCTAAGAACCTTGCATTTGTTATTAAAACAACCGTTCGTTCTGAGAACATGTCCTGGTAGGCCTATCAGGATGCCGGGACGGTCGGCCCCTACCCAATTATTTGTGCCTCGGCGCTTCGCCGGCGTGGCCTCTGGTGCGGGCTCACAGGTGCCCCTCCAGCACTGGCCTGCGCCCCCAAATTTGGCTTACCCGCGGCCCTCTTGAAGCCGCGCACCAAGGGTCGCGCGGTGGCTCGCTATTCAGGACGACGAGGACGAGGCGGTGGAGGAGAAGGAGGAGGAGAAGGAGGGGGGGAGGAGGAGGAGGAGGAGGAGGAGGAGGAGGAGGATGAGGAGGAGGAGGAGGAAGAGGAGGAGGAGGAGGAGGAGGAGGAGGAGGAGGAGGAGGAGGAGGAGGAGGAGGATTTTTTGGGGCACGACCGCCGCACTGCATGCATGAAGCTCACTGAAAGTGTCTTGGAGCAGGGTCACTCCACTCTCCTTGGGGTGGAAGCCCTTGCAAATCTGATTCCAGCTATGCGGATTATACTTCTTGTCGAGACTGCCGTCACTGAAAGTGTCTTGGAGCAGGGTCACTCCACTCTCCTTGGGGTGGAAGCCCTTGCAAATCTGATTCCAGCTATGCGGATTATACTTCTTGTCGAGACCCGTCTTGCTATCTTTCGGCGGTCCCGTGCACAGACTGCCGAGCTTGGCGAGACGGCCACCTGAAGTATAGCCCTTACAGATGGCACACACGACCAGCAACGAATCATTCGAGCAGTCGAAAATTACGCATCTGTCGCTGGAAATCTCGGAGTGCCTGCACGTTGATTCTCGGCACTCCGCAGCATCGGCCAGGAGACGGCGAGGCATTGCTAGCACGCCTGGCCGTGCGCAGGCAAACAGAGCACTGCCAAAAACGCTGGGAGCCAGCGGGCGGGCCCCTCCATTCCCACTGATGGGGGGCGGGGGCCTCTCTCGGGACTCTCGCCACGGGCGACTTCCACTCCACCCCCGACAAGTCCGTTCGGGGCCAGAGCGGTAGCACAGCCGCCGCCAAATGCACCACGAATTGGGCACACTCGAGCGAACGGCCAACAGCAGAGGACAGATCGTCCGAGGGCAAGGGATGCATAGCGGCGCCGAGCTTCGCAGCACGGTCAGCCGCATCGTTGCCGACTCGCCGAAAACGCAAGGCCTCGTCGATGTCTGGGCAATCAAGAGCCAGGTGCGCACGCACCCTCTCGCACCCAAGCAACCTTTGCCCCCCAAGAGCCCGCCCCTGCAACACGAGCCCCGCATAAGGTCGCTTGGGTGGGAGACGCTGCAAGTCATTCATGCCGTGCATGCTGACTACAGTGGCACTGTCGGAGTAGAGCTGCGTCGGCGCCGAAACAAGGGCACCTGCCATCGCGTAGGCCGCAAACTCTCCCGCCTGTGGAGTCAGTGGGCAGCTGTTCCACACAGGACCCCAGGCCGAGGCGAGCAAGTTGCTTCGGGGGCCGAGCACTGCCATCCCCCACCCAGCACGATTCGATTCTCGCACGACCCTGCGCGTGCAGGACCCGTCAAGAAAAATGGGTCCCCACAGATTCCGAGCACCTTCTAGGGGAAGATCCATGTCTTCGGCCTCGAAGCCGTCAGGGAAATATCGGAAACGGATGCCATCGTCATCGTCCCCCTCGCCGGCTATCGGGCAGGGGGGGACCACCTCCGCTGGATGCTGGAACAGTCCTGAAACGATCTCAAACGGTACTTGCCCCCCGTTCCACTCGACATAGTCACGGATGCTGTCCAAGAATGGCTGAGGCACGATGGCGGCACGTTCTTCGGCGGCAGCGGGGCATGCCCAAAGCCTGTGGTACAGCGTGCCCTCCAGGGGCATTGCACAGCGAGCAGACGTCGCCGACGTCGTAGCCCGCCTCGCGGGCCCTAGAGAGGGGCCAGAGACCTTGGCAGGCAAGGCGCCGAATCACCCCCTTCTGCCTGGCCGAAAACTTCCTAGGCCGAGTGGCAGCAATGACGACGTCAACACACAAACGATGCACTCCGTCGCCTCCGTACTTCGAAGCCGCTTCCCGCTCGAGACTTCTCCACACCCCTTCCCTGAGAAGGATTTTAAGGAGCGCAGGAGGGGTGAGGGCGAGGGAGTGGTGGGCCCCCAGGTCGCTGATCAATAAGAAAGGCGAGGGCATAGACCAGCTGATCCTTTGAAGGGACAACTTGAGGGCTCCAATGGGCCCCGAAACCGAACGCCACGTCCAGGAGATCGGATAGCTCGCATTCCAAAGGTCCCGAAGCTCGTTCCAGGAAAAGCAAAAATCGGTAGCCCGAGTGCGCCTGGCCCAAACCTTTTTAGACCATCGGATGATGGGAGAGACCGCCCCGAACCACGCCCACTTCGATCCCGGGCAAAATCGTTAAACTGCGGCCGCCGACGGCCGGCTTCATTGCACCAGCAAAGAGCCGCCGAATCTTCAAAAGTTCGCCGTCGCTGCAGCCGTGCACCTCGCTGCCGTAAGTGATACCGGACAGGGGCCCAGCAACGCAGAGTTTAATAGCCCTGCGTCCTAGAACAGCTCGCTGGCGGACAAGCCGCCCGACTCGGCGCTCCGCCTTCGCCAGCCTCGCCCTTGCACGAACGTTGCGCCCCCGAACGCGGCGAGCGCCTCCTACTGTGTCGTCAATGCCGAGGTTGACGGCGGCATGCGAATGAGCTCCTCCAAACAGCCCCAACCGTCTCTGGATGTGTCTGGAGATTTCCCTGGAAGACGAAATGAGACCGACCTTTTCAAGGGGAACGTTCGCATGCAGACAATCCGAAATAACGATATGCAGCTGACTAGCCGCGTCGGCGAGGTCCCGACTAATCGCTTTAATCGAACCCGTCGCATTGAGCCCCATATCGTCGATGTACGCGTCGAAGGTCACACTCCGAGGGATGACCGACCGGTCGAAAGCATCCCAAGCGAAAACTCGGATCAGGGTCGTGGCGAAACTACACCCCGCGATGATGCCCACGCGGGCGTGCATGGGACAAGCCACGACCCCTCCCAACACAACGAACCTCGCGGACCTGTGCCCCGCCAAACAAACCGAGGAAATGGGGTGAGGAAAGTTGCGCTGTCTACACTTCAAGGCCAAAGCCTCCAGGGGGATCCGCTCATAATATTTAGCAATGCCCCACAGTAACGTGCACGCATGCTGAGACTGACTGCGAGACCTCTCCGATCGAGCAGTCTGCCTCCAGACGACGTCGCTCGCCGACTTGCACTGGCCTGCCGCCCAAAAAGCACGTTGGTTGGCTGTCTCCAACTGCACCGCAAGATGGTGACGGCACTTGCCCCGGAGACGGCACAGGCTGGGAAACACTCCTACCGGACGGAGTCCCGAAGACGGTTTTGGCAGCATCGCGATGATGAGGGCCCGCAGCTGGGGGGGAATGGGCCCCGTCATCTCCATCATCGTGAAAAACCGAGAGAGAGCCGCCAAGGCCCCGTCCGACAGGAGCGCAAAGTGGCGCATGTGAAAGCCGTCTAGGCCCACAGCGGACATATGAGCAAAGGTTTTGGAGAACTTACGGATTTCTTCAATGGGCACAGGGGGGGGGGGGTCATTGATCTTCCCTGCCTGCTTGGCGGGCACGTCTAAAGCTTCCCACGAGCCGCGGAACCCTTGTGCCTCGTCAGCCAGCAGGGACTGCGGGTCGGACACCACGCAGCCGTTGGCGCAGAGGGTCGTGCTGGCCTTCCAGGCCAGTGGGTCCTTGGTGAACGCGCGAGCCCTCCCTCCTCCTTGGCCCACCGACTCCGTAAGCCAGTCCGCCCAGTCCTTACGAGCCTGCGAAGAATAAAAAGTTGAGCACTGCTCAGCGTGCTCGCCAACCGCGCCCCCCAGATTCTCAGCTCGGACCTGGGGCGTGTCCTCCGAAAGGCTACGTTCGAGGCAATCCGAGGCCAGCTGGGAGACCCTTTCCAGGATATCAGGGAACCCAGGGAAGTCAGGGACCTCGGGACCCGAAACTTCAGATCCAGAGGGCTCGGCTCCAGGAAGGGGCTTGCACAAACTCGAGGGGGGGCGACGCAAGAGCACGGGCCGCTTCTCGAGCCTGAGGCCGATCCGCACGCAGAACAGCCCCCTGGAAACGCTTGAAGTGACTGGCAAGCCAACGGCTCGCGCGGAGCTGGGGGTACCTGACACACCCTTTATCTTTCCCAAGGATGGGCCTCCAGTGGGTGATGGGCCCCTTGCCCCTCGACCCCCAGACAGGCAATTCCACCCCCAAGGTCCTGGCCAGCTCCCGCTCCGCCAAGCCTGCCCAGGAGGCGTACGCCTCGCTAAACAACTTGGAAGTCATGGCAACGTCGTCCCCACGCCGCGCCCTGATGAAGGCTGCATCCAGCTTGGCCTGCACACGCTCGAACTGCTGAGGTGCGGACTGAGGTCCGAACGGCGGCGCCGAGGGTAACGAAGGCGGCTCCCTGAAAATAAGGTAGTGCATCTTCGCCATCCCCGCATGGAAGCAAATATGAACTCGAAGGCGAGGAAAGAAACCCGCATCTTCGACTGGTTCTATACTCTGGACCGCCTTCGACACTCCCGACGAGAGAACGAAATAATCATATTCTCTGCCTTCGCCAGTGTGACAAGTAGGCTTGCCCGTGCAGGTGGCCTGGCCAATGAGCGACGAGAAGCCAGACCCGGCTAGAGTCGACGGGTCCATGTTCCAGTCCCCTCCCGCGGTGAACGGTTTGCCACGCGTGGGCCCCAACGCCCCGACAGCCGACAGGGTTTCCAGATTCGCTTCGGACACAAACCCTCCGAGTCCCTGGGGTACGCAGAGCAACACAAAACCGCGCCACCCTGGGGGGCGTGCACTTCGGCCGCCAGGGCCCGATGCGTGGCCACGACAGATCCCGAAGACGGCGGATGGAGCCCCACGGTCTGCCTACGCAAAATCGCGACTCCCGCAGACGGGCCCCCCCCTGGGCCAGTAGTCGCGGGGGCCCACAAGCTTTTGAAACCAAGGACCAGGCAAGCGGAAGACGCACGGTCCAGGGACTCCTGCGAAATCAATGTATGCTCCTGGACCATGATCACTTCAGCTCTAGCGCTGGGCAGCCAATCTTTCACCGACCCCCACGAGTTGCCGTTCACGGAGACGACGCTCAGACGAAACGACTCGGCCTCGGGGGGGGGGGCGGAGGGGAAAAAGGGCCCTTCAGGCGACTAAAACTGCCAGCGCGTCCTGAGGTTGGTATTTTCGAAACTGCATCGAGCGCAACGTGAGGAAGGGAAAGAAACGGCGAGCGGCCCCTGAACTGCGAAGGGTCGCTCCCAGACAAAAAATTGGAGCGCGCCAGGCCTTCAGGAATCAGGTGAACATGATGCTGCAGGTCCCCCCCTTGAGCTGCCGCCAGGGGAGGCTTCTTGTTGAGGGAGTCCACCACCCCGTTCCGCCTGGGCCTGGGCACGTTGGGCAATGGCAGCGACCTCGCCCCTGACTCGGCCAGCGGCGGCGGCGTCGGGCGATCCGCCAGGCTGCTCAGCCGCTGCTGCGGCGGCCGCAGGATCTCCAGCATGTGGCCCGTCAGCCCCTTGGCCGTCCCGTGGAGCTGCGCCTCCAGGAAGGCCACCTTCAGGGCCTCGCCGACGTTTGCCAGCGATGCGCTTGAGGTACTGCTCGTGCTCCTTCTTGACCGCCTCCGCCTTCGCGACAGCGTCCTGGAAGAGCTGCTTGGCGGCGGCGGCGATGTGCCCCTTGAACTTGGCACGGCGCTTCTCGACCTCGTCGATGTCGGCCTGCTCCAGCTCGAGTTCACCTGGGAAGTCGCTGAAGAGGCCGCCGTCGTCGATGGTGATGTCCGCCACTTCGCCAGCCACGAGGTCTCGCAACGACAGCACAGGCCCAGGCGCAGGCTCCGAGTCAGCCTCGATGACAATGGGGGCCACCTCCCTGTGGAGCTTCGCCGCCAATGTGCGGTGCTGCTTGATGAGCGCCTTGGACTTCTGCGACAGGTCGTGCAGGTACGTCTCCTGCTTGCGAACGCCCTCCACCGACCGGTTGTACTTTGCCAGTTCCGCTTCCATCTTGCTGTCCAGCTTCGTGATCTCACGATGGAGCTCCGACACTTGGTCCTGCAGAGGCTTGGGAGCTGGTCTCGCCTTCTCGGTGAGCGCGTCGATCTTTGACTGGTACTTCTTGGCGGTCTCCTCGTCCCCGTCGCGCTTGGCGAGAGACGCCAGCATCTGCAGCTCCACGGTTCCCAGAGGGCCCGATGATGCGCCACCTCCTGCTGCTCCTGCTGGGCCATGCGCCGCAGCACGGCCGCCAGGCTGGGGTCCAGGAAGGAGGGCACGCCACGTGCCAGGAGCGATGGCGCCTGGAGCTGCAGGCTGGCCACGAAGATGAGACCGCACACCGCGAGGGCCCTGAGGGTGGACGGGTGCTGGGGCCTGCCGCTCGGCGCCGCAGTGCTTGCAGTTGGCCGAGAGCATGGACGTCTTGCCGCACCCGCACTGAACGCACTTCCAGCGCTCGGTTGACTCGCCGCCCTTCGCACCCTTGACCCCGCCCTTGCCCACGTGGGGCTGCACCATGTGCCAAGGAGGTACGACGCCTTGCCAAAGATGGTCTCCTTGGCCTTTGCCGCCGCCGCCTCCCTTGCCGCCATGGCGCCACATGCAAGAGAAAGGCTGAATGTCCGTTCAAATTGGCCCGCTGACACCAGGTGCGGAGGAGGAGGAGGAGGAGGAGGAGGAGGAGGAGGAGGAGGAGGGAGGGGGAAAGCAGGGCGAGGAGGGCGGCCTGCGAGAGCCTTGCCAAGCAGCGGCCGCGCAGGGGCGCGCCTGGGCCACTCCTTGCGTGAAGTCGAGTGCTCTCATCGGGCGGATGGGGTGACCAGAATGCTGTGAACGACGATCAATGGAGAGGAGGCGTGTTGTCAAGTAATTCCCAGATGTCTCATACATGTTATAAATATGTCTGAAACCAGTAAGCTACATGCTTCAAGCATTTTACAGCCGTTTCCGTCATATTAACACCTTTTTAATTCAACGGTTGGATTGTTAGGATGTCCATTGTTATGGCACCCGCAACTAGAATGGGGGGAAGACAAGGGCCTCCAAGGGGCTCTCGAGGGCCCCCCTTGGAGCCAGCAGGAGCTTCAGAGGGGCTCCACAGAAGGCCCCTCTGGGGCTCTTTTCTTCACCCCCCCTATCTACCCAGACCCCCGACGTCGTGATTTTTGTTCACAACGTCGATCCGCACAGGTCTGGCCCGGTTTTTCGACCCAAGTCGTTTTTTGACGGTCCCTAGGCCTGGGAAGGGCCCCTGGAGGCCGAACGTCGAGGAACACCTCCCGTCGTGTTTTTTGCAGGCTCGAGGGGTTCTGGGTAGGTCACCATGCATCGCCACCTGCCCAAGCTCAATTATTTGTGCTCCCCGGGGCCCCTGCAGAGGTGGGGAGGAGGAGGAGGAGGAGGAGGAGGAGGAGGAGGAGGAGGAGGAGGAGGAGGAGGAGGAGGAGGAGGAGGAGGAGGAGGAGAGGAGGGGGAGGAGGAGGAGGAGGAGGAGGAGGAGGAGGAGGAGGAGGAGGAGGAGGAGGAGGAGGAGGAGGAAGGAGGAGGAGGAGGAGGAGGAGGAGGAGGAGGAGGAGGAGGAGGAGGAGGAGGAGGAGGAGGAGGAGGAGGAGGGAGGAGGAGGAGAGGAGGAGGAGGAGGAGGAGGAGGAGGAGGAGGAGGAGGAGGAGGAGGAGGAGGAGGAGGAGGAGGAGGAGGAGGAGGAGGAGGAGGAGGAGGAGGAGGGAGGAGGAGGAGGAGGGAGGAGGAGGGAGGAGGAGGAGGAGGAGGAGGAGGAGGAGGTTGAGGAGGGAGGGGCCCCTGCAGAGGTGCGGTGCGAGGGCGGGCGGCTCGCGGGAGCGGCCGCCTGCCGCCGGCCAGGCTGCGGCGCCCCGGCCGTGCCGCGCGCGGGCCGCCCGAGCTGCCAGGAGATCGGCTGCCCGCCGTGGGGTCGCGCGGGCCCCGAGGGTCAGGTCGGGCAGGTCCTCCTGCAGGCGGAGTTTTGGGGCAAACGTCATCGAAAACGTCAAACCATACACCGACACAGACAAACACAGTCGACAGCCATCGTCCCCAGCCTATGTTTTGACGATTTTGGAATTTCCCTCCTGCAGAGTGACATGGCCGACGTAACCCGAGGGCAGCGGGTCCCGAGTAGGGGTCGAAGCAGATGGGGCCAGAGGATTGCGCTGCATCGGGACGCGGGTCCCGAGGGGAGCGGGTCCCGAGGTTTGTCGCCGGCGTCGGGCCCTCGGGGCCTTCCACGGGGCTCAGGGGTCGGGGGTCAGTGCAAACGGGGGTCAGTGAGAGCGTGGGCTCTCGCAGGATCTCACAGGGCCAGGGGTGCATTGACCAGGGCTTTGGCGCAGGATCCTGCAGGATCCTGCAGAGCCTGACTGACCCGGGTCTGGAAATTGACCCGGTACAGTAGAACCCCGACCCTCCACGGGCCCCGGTTCCGAGGTCATCTAGGCCCTGTCGTTCCCAATTCCAGACATAGTGCCGAGCACCCCGAAAGGTATCGCAAGAGTGTGGGGCCCGACACGCTGGCGAAGTGCCGAGCGAGTATCGCCTCCCAGGCAGGGCCCGAGACGTGAAAACCGCTCAGTTTCGATAAATTCTGGGCGCTCGAATTTCTTTCTCATGGCCGAGCCAAGTCAAGCAAGCCACCCCCTTTGCACGAAGGCAGGCCCACAGAGGGCGCGAGGGCGCGAGGGTGATCAAGGCCAAAGTAAGTTGGAGCATCAGAACGCTCGCCGTGGGGGGCGCGGTGGAGGGTTTCTCCGAAGGGCTTAGGCGACCCGTCTTCCTCCTCCTCCTCCTCCTCCCCCTCCTCCTCCTCCTCCTCCTCCTCCTCCTCCTCCTCCTCCTCCTCCTCCTCCTCCTCCTCCTCCTCCTCCTCCTCCTCCTCCATGTCCTCCTCCCCCTCCCCATCCTCCACATCCTCCTCCTCCCCCTCCTCCTCCTCCTCGGGTCGCATACGGCTCCGGGGGGAACCGTGCAGGACGCGGGTCCGGACGGAAGCGCGTCACGAGGTTTGTCGCCGGTGTCGGGCCATCGGGGCCCACCACGGGCCCTGGGACCGTCAGGAAGCGGCTCTGGATGAAGAGCTCGTCCTGAGGGGAGTCCAGGATGCCCCGTTTTCCTAAGGACCCGTTCCCCCCATGCTAAAATCAACCCGCATAGGAAGGATGGGCAACCTTCCCAAGGGTACCCCTGCATCCTTGCCCCTTCGGCCCATCCTTGGCGACTTTCGCTGGCCAGCCTCGGTCGAAAGACGTCCACTTGGCCCTCCAAGGCCCCTGCATCCTTGCCGCGCGTCCTTCTGATGCGGATCGACTGTGACAGGATCGGCTGCGCGCGAGGGTGAATGGCCCGTCGCCGCTAGAGTGGCCGCGGCCTCTGGTGCGGGCTCGCGGATCAAGTGGTCACGGTCGGGCGCTCCGGACTCGTGCCTGCGCAGCATCCTCGAGCATCTTCACGACGGCTTCTCTTCCAGCCTCGGGATGCCCTCCGCAGCCGCGCCTCGCGGAGATTGCTCCCGAGTTGTAGCCCGAAGGCCATTGCGATCAGGGCCAGCGTTCGGCTGGGGCAGGCCCGAGGGGGACAGCATCAACCCTCAATCGCCCATTCACCGGCAGCAGCGGCCTGGTAGCCCAAGCCCCCGTGGAACGTGCCGTGTCGCTATCGGGGGGCACATCGCCGATCAATCGGCGATGTGTCGCCGATTCAAGCTCGATGCTTCCCCCCCGTCCCTCCCTAGCGTTGCTCCTCAACTTGCCCCCCCCCCCCCCGACCGCTGAACGCGATGCGATAGCAGCGGCCTGCGCGCTCGTGTTCCTGGCCCCCTCTTGCCCCCCCCTTTAAGCCGCGCGCCAACGGCCACTCTTGTTCGGGTTCAGTCCTGAGTGCAGCCGGCAGGAGGGCGACTGGATCGAGCCTGGCTTGAGCAAGAAAAAACAACGTAGAAATAAGTGTTCGACGGTTCGTGCGGATTTCTTGGATCTGCGCTGGCCCCCCTTCCTGGCGCGCGGAGCGCGCCAGGGGCGGCGCCGGAGGCGCCGCCAGGGGGACCCAGTGCAGATCCGAGAAATCCGCGTGGACTGTCGAAAGCTTATGTCCCTGCTGTTTTTTGTTCCTCCACTGGCGGCCTCTGCACGCCCAGCTGCCTGCCGGGCTTCCAGCCCAGCACCCCGGGCGCGCTCACGTGCAGCGGCTCCGCACTGTCTGCCTCCTTCAGCTGCGCGGCAGGCCGGCCCTGCAACCTGTCGGGGCTGGGCATCGCTCACAGTGCTGGCGCGGGCCCTTGCAACCACAGCTCGGGGAGCAAACAATGACATAAACATAGAACATGAAGCTTCGAAGTTCCGCGCAGATTTCTCGGATCGGCGCTGGACCCCCCTCCCTGGCGCGCGGAGCGCGCCGGAGGTGGCGCCAGCGGCACCGCCGGGGGCCCCAGCGCCCATCCGAGAATTCAGCGCGGACCTCCGAAAGTTTATGTTTATGCCGTTGTTTGTTTCCCTGACAGCGGGCAGGCTGTGCCGCACGGCGCGACCTGCCTCGCTCGCTGCGAGCCCGGCTACGAGCCCAGCACCAACCTGACGTGCAAGGACGGGCAGCTCGAGCCGCTCACCCTGTTCGAGTGCGCCAGTGGCGGCGCCGCCCCTGCAGCGCCAGCCAGCGGTGCGTGGGGCGTGGGCCTCGACCCAGGATTGCAGCAGTAGGCGTACACACACGGTCAGGAACTTTGGCTTAGCGTGTCGCGCCGCGGGTCCTGGCCCACCACGCTTCGGCGCGACGCGCTGGCCACTCCCCGGTCCCCGAATGTCAAGGTCCCGAGCCTTTCTTAGCCTCCCGCCCCGCAGAGCGGAGCGACTTGCGATCCGCTCGCAGGCCACAGCGTGTCGCCAGGACCATCGCCGCGTCACGCTGAGCAAACGTTCCCGACCACCTGCGCCTATAGACCTGAAGCACCACCATGCCCGGCCAGGGCTATCCTGGGCCCTGGGGTGGTATACAGTCGCTCCATGGCTTGGGCCCGGGTGGCGCGCGCACGCTGCCAAGACCCAGGATGGCCACGAGGTCGAAATGGGTACGAAGACCGATACAGTCGGGGCGCTGGAGAAGGAACCCTTTTCGTTGGGGAGGGGCTCGGTGTTCCTTGATTGTTTTACAGTTTGCCTTGGGTTGTCCTTAGGTTTTCCATGGGGAATCGAAGTTGAACTTATGGGAAAAGGGGGCCGCGTTCCTTAATTAGGGTTCCTTAGGTCAAGCCCCCGATTGTAGCATGTCCTGTTCATTCCGCACAGGGTTCGCTGTCGGTGTCGCCGCGGACGCTGTCCGTTTGATGCAGAAGGCCGCCTGCCCAACAGCATCCGCTGTCGGTGTTGGACAGCATCTGTTGTTCGGCATCGTATCTATTTCTGTCGGAACCAATCCCGTCCAGGGAGGACAAACCACCCCAATCCCGATAATTTTTGCTTTCTGGGCGGCCCTGGGCGTTTACTGAACAGCTCTTCCCTTCTCGATTATTTCCTTCGTGCGTTTACTAAACGGCTTCGCTTGTCGGGGTGCCTACGGTGAGGATGGACTTTCTGCTCTCGGGATCCAAGTGTCGGCCACGCGCAAAGGGGGGGTATGGGGGAGGCGGGAAGGCTTCTTAAAGGCACCCCTGCTTCTCAGAAGGCGCGAGCCTTACCTTTAGACGTGATGCCGGCACCTTCTAAGAAGCAGCCTCCTTCTAGAAGCCTTCCCCCTACCCCATTGTGCTCGCCGCCAAGTTCTGGGGCGGCTCTCCTCCTCCTCCTCCTCCTCCTCCTCCTCCTCCTCCTCCTCTTCCTCCACCTCCTCCTCCTTTTTTTCCTCCTCCTCCTACTCACCCTTCTTCCGTAGCCATTATGGTTCAAACCATGTCGTGTCAAGACTAAATGTGGGGAAGCGACGAGGTTCCGAGGTAACACGATTAGTTTCGGCCTCGTCGGTAGCCAAGAGCCGAGCTTTCGGCCGACATGAGGCCAACTTCCTCTCGGGAGTCAGACCCAACAGTCCCCGTTCTTTCAGAAGTGCCAGCCGCCTTCCCTCAGTCACTCTCACCCATGGCTGCAGGCGACATGAACCCCCTGGTCGCGAAGTTGCAGTCAGCTCTCAATCAGCACAGACGGCCACTGCACAGATCAAGGAGCTAGGCAATACGATGCAGGCCAGATTCGCTCAGCAGTTCGGCATCTGGACGGACGTTGTCAACAAACGAATCGATGAGAACACCGCAGGGATATCGGCACAATCGGCACACATCCAATCCATTCATGCACAGCTGAAAAAAAAACATCATGACGCCACTCAGCTTCTCCAGTCGTCTTCTACCGTTAGTGGGTCCAGCTCAGCAGCTTCAGCTACGGATGCCAGTGACTCTTGGTTTGGCAACTTTTAGCATATCCGAGAACCGAGTCACGGCAAGTTGAATGCACTGCAGGTGAAGTCTCACAGGCCTCCCGGCCCTCTTTTTGAAAGCACGACAAGTGCAGACGATAGAACGGCACCTTCCCTCGGCCAGTTCTTGCATCCATGAGGCAAGCGCATTTGGCCAGCTTCAAGTATCAAACTTTGACGGCGGTCATTCTCAACAACGTGACGCCTCAGTTTCACCGTGTCAGCCAGTCGTACAGTCTCACCTTTTCGAGCGAGGCCCTTGCCAAGGAGTTCTCCGAGATCTGCAATGCGTCCCTTAACCATTGAATGGATCCGCGTGGCGGGTCACTCCACATCATGAAAGCCAGGACCGGCCCCCCGCTCGACGTCCGCACCAAGCAGCACGCGCTGAGGAAGACATCGGACCCGATCGTCGAGCTTTTCTCTGCCAGTTCGCACTTCTCCGCTGGCTCGAACCCCATCATCAACGGCTAAAAAGGCGCGGTTCACTTGACCAACGGCACGGACGTCTGACCGCTCATCTCGTTCAACGAGGTCAACCACGCAGCGGGCACCGTCCACATCGATCAGGACACGCGCAGCCACATCCTTATCGACATGTTGAAGCTGAACGCCATCATGTCGGACGTCAACACACGGGTGCTCTACATCTAGGAGACGACAACGTCGCACTCATCGGATATCGACATTGAAGATTGGAACGAGACCGCTGCGCTGATGGAGTCCAATGACTTCGACGCCGCGTGCTCGCCTTCAGGTACACAGCCGGCTGCTGCGACTTTATTCGATTCTCGAGGTGCCAGCTCGTCTTCGGGGACTGATGGGCACATCGAATTTCCCGCGCTGACGCCAGCCTCGCGCCACATTTGCCTGCGCAGTTGCTGCCCGCGCGCGCGTGCAATGCGCGCGGCCTTTCTCACTCCCCCCACCCCATCCTTCCTCCATGCGCGTAAGAAATTCAATTCGTTGGCCAGGCTAGCGAGGGGACTGGGTGTAATCGCTGCGCAGGAGACCCATGGTCAGGAGGGGGACCTCGCCGCCCTGGAACGTGATCACCCTGGGTTTCGCATCTTCGGCTCAATCATCGCGGGCGAGCGCGCAAGTGGGATCGCTGTCCTGGTTCGCGAGAGCTTCGCCGACGCGACCTCGCAGATCGTTCCTGTCGACATCGCCCCTGGTCGCGCGTTGTCTCTGCAGTGTTGCGGGCCAAAAGGGCATCTCCAGATATCAGCGGTGCATCTTGGCCCCGAGGGGTAAGAATGGCATGCTCGCTCCGCATTGCCCCCCCTCCCCCGCTAGACGCTGCCGCGATCTCAGTGCACTGGCGCGATTCCTGGGGACTTCGCCTTCCACGAGCATGGCGAAGCCAGATGCTGCCCGACACCTCCAGCACTCTCGCCTGCGCCACCACGCCTTGCCATTGACTTCGATGCCCTCTTCCTACATAACACTGAAGTGGAACGGCAATATTTTACTCGCGAAGCTACTGTTCGTGGTCGTCAGAGCCATGCTAGACTCAATTGAGCATACGTAAACATGAATACTCCCGCGCCGCTCGATCACCGCCGCATGTCCGGGGTCGCGCGGGAAGTTACGGAGGGGCACGAGCCCTCCGATCGCGCGCCCGTTCTCCTCGCCCCGCAGCCGCCCCGCGCGCCGGAGAGCGGGGCAGCTAGCGCCCCTCCTTGAGTCGCCAGGCGCGCGAAGAATCGGGCATTTGTCGAGCAGCGCGCTCGAGGTGTTGAGCGTTTGCCCCATTCGCCGACGTAAGCGAAGGAAAGCAAAGCTCATCTTGCCTCCACTCGGGCGCGTCGTCGCATGGAGATTGCGGGCGGCGTCGCCGTTGCTGAGAAGGCCGCCTGCACGTTGAAGCTCGCGCGCGGATCGCTCTGGGGATCCCCGGCATGCCCGTCGAGCTTGCTAAGGGCGCAGTCGCTGCAGTTACTCGCTCATTTTCTTTAACCCTGAGACGATGGCGCGGCTGGATCAGGCGAGCTCCCACGTCCACCTCGCCGAGCCGATGGGGGCCCAGCGTGGCGGGGGGGGGGTCCTGCGACGCATGGGGGAGGGGGCGGACTGAGCTGGGCAAGCCACCCGGCGCGCCCGTGGGCTCTCTTCTGCCCGGTCAGCCCTGCGCCCTCGCAGCAAGCTCGCAGGCGCGAGAGGTCCCCGAGGCGAAGTGCGCGCCGATCCGAGCGATGCCGCAGCCCAGCTAGCCTATTCTTGGGGGGCTCAGTCTAGCTGCGACCCCAACAGTATTCCCGATGGACATCCTTGGCATAGCGATATCCAGCGCGTGGGCGGCGCGACCGATCAGTTCACGCATGCGAGTCGCCGACGATCCGATTGGATGCTGACTGGAGGGATTCTGAGCCAAAGCCGCCTCCAATAAGAAAGATGGAGCTGCTGGGCCAGACGGCATTCCCCACTCCGCGCGGCTCTTCTCGGGCCAGGCCGCGCACGTCGCGCGCCGCCAGCTGCGTGAGTTTCTTCTGGGAGGAGGTCGTCTTGAAGACAACTTCAACCACTGCCGCGCTGTCGTCTTGCCGAAGGGGGAGGTGGGAACAACGCGGGGGGGGTTCGCGAGCCTGCAGCTGCGCGCCCACTTTCATTGTCCAACGCGGACGACGAGCTCGCGAGCGCTGCCGCTGCGTCGGTGCCAAGCGAAGTCGCCGCCGACGCCTGCCGCGAGATCCAGCGCGGCTTCGTCGCAGGCAGATTGATGATTGAACGTTCGATTTCCATGGGCGGCGCGCTGATTGGCCTGCCGCGTTTTCTGGTTTTCGCCGTCGCCGCGTTGCGTCGACGTCTGGGCGGGTATCTCCACGGGGAACTGTAGCCAGGGATACTGGGCCTCGAGAGGCATCAAACAGGGCTGCCCTCTCAGCGGGGCCCTCCTCGCCCTCGCCCCCGACCCTGCCCTTCGACATGTCCTGCGGCCGCGGCCTTGTCTGGAGTTCAAGCTCGGGGCCTTCGCGGATGATTCATCCGTCGTCTACTTAACTCTCCCCTTCGTCATCGAGCGCCTCCTGGTTTCTGGCAGCCTCGCGGGCCCCCGCTTGAACCTCAGGAAATGCGCGATCATTGTCTCGAACCAGGACGACCCTGAGAAGGTGGTCGACGGCTTTCGCGACTATGTGCTGAATGCTACTCGAAACCAGTTTAGGCGCTCTGGCAAACTGCTCGGCGCGGCGGCGGGCTTTGGCGGCCAGACGGACGCCCGGCCCGCCGCCGGGCGAATAATCAGGTCTCGGACGGAGGGTGCGCGCCGGTTCGGTCAAACTT